CTGAAATTGAAAGAAAACTACGTCTATCAATTTAATTGTCTTATCAATCAATTGATTATTGAGATTAGTTATCAACGAAAAAAAAATTAAAAGATTAACATATTCCTGTTTTAAATATGTTTATGTGTTTATAAAACATTTTTGGTTTCAATGTCCCATTTTTAAAAGATAATTTTCAATTTGGATATATTATCTAAATTTAAAAAAAAAGAAAAAAAGGTCCAAGCTTTGACCAACTCTCGATTCCTGTAAAAGGTATCAAAAGGTTTTCAACAGGTAAAATGAATATTATAATATCATGAACAATTAATCAGTTGACCACATTCTGATATCTGTTACAGGAAACAAGATAAACTGGGTCAAAGTGTATTGGAATTTTAATTGCGACAAATTGAAGTAGTAAATGACAAATCAAATTATTTTTAATACACTTTAAACGCAAGGATTCAATTGCAGTAATAAATATAAAAATTTCAAACTTGACACGGAAAATGTGAAACTGAAAATTATAAAAAAATTGAAGCATAATTTTTGTAATCGCTAAAAATGCTTAAAATTAATTAAACCTTGGCTGTCAAGTTTCCGATCACTTTAAAATTTTTGAACGGTGTAAAACAGATCTAGATCGAAACTTTGCATTCACAGAATTTTTTGAAAATTCCTTAAAGTTTTTGGTATAAAAACGGGGCAAAAATAGTGTCTTTCAGAAATCAGCTAACAGAAATTTTCAAAATTCTGTGAATGCAGCGGAAATCCCCAGAATAATACGTTTCTGTTTATCCTATTGACAGGTAGTGGGGTTAAAGCTAACCCAAGCTAACTTAGGCTAACTCAAACTACCGTAAAATCTGTATTAATATTGCATGCAAGTCTATTGTTCAAGTCACCTCAAGGGGTGCAACTCTATTAGAGGGGCAATTCAAATAGAGGCTGCAATTCTATTTTTCAAACTACAATTTGAGGTTAAAATTTGAAAAAAAAAGTTTTATTATGAAAATCGACAAAAAAAGTAACAAATTGAACAAAACGAAAAGAAAAGTATTGCAACCAAAAAATCGAGGCGTCACTGTCATAGTTATTGTCTTCTTCTTCGGCATGGTTCACTTCTCCATCGTCTTCCTCAATTTCAATATCTCCCAAAATCCCTTGAATTTCTTCCATTTCTAGTTCTGCTCGTCTTGTCTTCAATAACTGTACGCCTTTTGGGATTTCTCCATCTTTCTTGAAACAATGAATTGCCTTAATCCGCATCCTGTGAATGATCTTACAATGTATTCTTTCGGAATATGTTCTCACGCCAATTGAATCCAATTCAAATGAACTTCCATATGGGAGCACGTGTTATTTTTTCCGTGTTATTTTTTGATTCTGCCCATTTCTCCACCGTAAGCTTGTAATCCAATGTGTGTGCTCCACGCTTTCTCTTTCTAGAGTTTTCATCAATTTTTTTCAACGTCTTCTACGTTATCCACGTCTTCCACGTGTTCCACTTCATCCAATTTTTCCACGTCATCCACGTGTTCCACGTCATCCAATTTTTCCACGTCGAACGCGTTTTCCACGTCTTCTCGGTCTTCTTCAATAAATGGAAAATATTGTTAAAAAACAAAGAAAAATAAAAATAAACCAGAAATTAGGTAGGTAGTTTAAAAAAAATCTAAAAACAACTGTGCAATAGTTCGTCACGGTGTCACAGACTAAAAATTGTGCAGTACTCCCGGCGGAGCCGCAATACTGCTGCAAATGCAATTGTATTACGGGGGAATTCAATTAAAGGTTGCAAGTCTATTTTTCAAGTGCCCTCAAGGGGTGCAAGTCTATTAGAGGGGCAATTGAAATAGAAGCGCAATATTAATACAGATTTTACGGTAGCTCAAAATATCTAACTATTGTCAATTCAAAAAGATCGCACCGGTGAACACATAAACAAACAAGTAAACAAGGGGGCGGAGCGATCCGCCCCTTTCCGCAAAGGCGCCGCGTAGTTTTTCGACGGTATTTTAGCGATGCCGTTTTTTGGTAATTTTTCATCGAATTTCTTCCGAATTGAAGGAAATTCGTCAATTTTTTTCTAATTCATCCATCATCTAATAAGAAAAATCGCCTTCTGGGATCACAACTATGAAGAAATGTTGAATAATCTGCGGTTAGTCGACAAATTACTCTAAATACTTCTCCGATCGAGTTTTTCAGGTTTTCAGGTAACTTTACAATAATAATTTATGTTTTATGTGATCTCGAAGCTTTCCTACTTCCTATTTTCATCATTGCAAGATTCGATACGTCACATGGTCTTGCTCATTTCATTTTCACCCTGAATCAAAAAATAGTGTTTCCCAATTGTGTTTCTCAGTTTTTATTAAAACAAGGTTATATATTCCTTCACAAAATCGACGAATTTCCTTCAATTCGGAAGGAATTCGATGAAACATTACCAAAAAACGGTATCGCTAAAATACCGTCGAAAAACTGCGCGGCGCCTTTGCGAAAAGGGGCGGATCGCTCCGCCCCCTTGTTTGCTTGTTTGTTTGTGTGTTCACCGGTGCGATCTTTTTGAATTGACAATAACAAGATTATCGAATCGATGATTACCCACCAATTTCCGCTGCATTCTGTCCCATAAGCAACCCTCTGATCAGTGTCTGTGCCACAGCCGATATAATTTTAGAACCTCCCGTACCGCCTGTCACCATTTTCAAATCTCCATTCTCAACATTAAAAACTACAGTAGGACTCATACTACTCATCGGTCGTCGTCCAGGAACAATAAAATTGGCTTCAGTTGGTTCGAATCCCCAATGATTACGAAATCCGGGTGTCGAGAAGTCATCCATTTGATTGTTATAGATGAATCCGTACTTTGAGAGCATTTTTGAGCCGAATCTATAAAGAAGATTGAGTCAAAAAGGAGGTTCTTGGGTTTCTCAAAAATGTGGAACCTAAAAAAGTTTTTTTCTGGAAAAATTCTTACGCTGTATTAATTGAAGATGTCAGTGAGACAGCATTCCCATCATCATCCACAACGCTAATTTGAGAAGTACCACTATCCAAAACAGCAGGTGCTGAAAATCAAAAATTCGAAACTTTCTAGAAATAAAAAAAAATTTCAGATTTCCGGATTTTTAGATTTAAAAAAATTTTCCAAATTTTTTCAAAAAAAGAACTGTTTTGAAAATTTCCAAAAAATCATACAGTTTTTAAAAAATCAATCTGTCTTTGCTTCTTCGTTTAAAAAATTTAAAATGTTCAATTTTTTCCCTTACCTGCCGCTAAATAATACTCCAAATCTTGACCCGTCTCCTTGACTTTTTTTGACAATAATTTCATGGTGCTTCTGGAAAAAAATTACCAAACATCCAAATTTGAGTCCATATATCTCGGTTCCTGTCAAAGTTTTAAAAAAGTTGTTAACTGATAAATTGTTCATGACAATCATGCCAACATTTTATCAGTTGACAACTTTTTGATATTTTTTACAGGAACCGAGATATATGGGCTCAAAGTTGGGAGTTGGGAGACCCTTCTATTACAGGGTGTACGGTATTATTTTCTCAAATCTCAAGCCTACCTTTCTGTCAAATTCTTGGCAATATTCAATGATTTCTCCGAGAAAAGATAGTCGCCAAGTTGTCCCTCTGACCGTAGGCCAGTTTTTGAGCCTCAATCAAAGTGTGATAGAATTCGACGTCGTTGAACATTTTCTTGTCGCGGTATTGCACTGAAATAAACGATCTTTTCGTACTAGAGATGATTGTTTTGGATAACTTGTGGAGGCTTTGAAACAGGCAAAAATGGGATTTCAGGGGAAATACATACAGTACTGGTCAATAAGATTTTCAGTCAGTTTTTGAGCATTTTGAGCATTTTCAAGAGGCTAGAGCCCGGCTGTCAAGTTTCCAATTACTTAGAAAGTTTTGAAGGTTGTAAAAAAGGACCAGATTGTAAAATTTGCATTCAAAGATTTTTATGAAAATTCCTACAATATCCGATTTCTAAAAAGAACCCATTTTTGGCCCGTTTTTGCACTGAAAACATCAAAAACGGGTGTCTTTCAGAAATCGGCAAATAGCTGAAAAACAAGAAACTTTCGAAAAATCCTGTGATTGTAAAGTTTTCAATCTATGTCTGTCTTATACCCTCCGAAATTTTAAAAATGATCGGAAACTTGAGAGCTGAGCTCCGTCCAACTAAATATGGCCTAAAATCAACTGAACTATACGTGTTTCCTCATTAACCCGTACACTATATGCTTGTGAACAAAAACAAACAAATTTAATCATATTAAAACTTGGTCCCGTAACCGGAAAGTTTTTTGTTCCATGAAGTACACATAATGTTCATTCAGGACACATAATTTCAATAGTATGAAGGTGGTTGTTGGAAATGTGATTTTTTTTTCGGAATGATAATGATTTGCTTGATGATAATAGCAGAAGCTTTATCAAACTTCGTCCAGTAACAATAATTTTGGGTCCTTTTAAGTTTAGGATCTAAAATTCCAATTTTAATTATCACCGCAAAATTTAAGTCTGGAAATTCTGGATGACTGAAAATGTGTTTTTCTAGATGAAAATGATTCGCCTTATTATATTTCCAAAAAAACCTTATCAAATTTTGTTCAGTAACAAACATTTTCGGTCTCTCAGATTTTTGGATAGTGTTTAACTAATTTCCACTGTTATAGGTTTATATAATAAAATATCCCCAAAATATGACATCGTTTTTTCATTACTGTATCCGAAAACAATTGGCCATAATCATTTTTGAATTATTCGAGTTTTCGAACAAAAAACCTCCTCATTTTCTCCCAAAAAGTTCAAACTACAAAAAACTTTACTTTCCACAATTCTGGGAATCGCCTGGGTGATCACCCACGATGATGGTGGAGGCGGTCCACACATTCGATACTTCCCGAGATCCGCGTATAAGGCTTCTATAATAGAAAAAACTCTTTTGATGGATTCAAAAAGTTGAATGTACCAGTAACATGAGTTTCATAATTTCTCAAGTCATCAATTGTAATAATGCCGCCATTGGCGAGCATTTCCTTGATGATTCCATCTGCAATGGATCCTGAAAAATATCATTTTCAAAAAATAATACTGTTTCGAGATTATGATTTTCGAGAAATTTTTAATTTATGATTAATGCTCCAACGATACACAGCAAAAGTTTTATTTAAAGTTTTGAAAACTGTAACTTTGATTCAATTTATCTCGGTTCCTGTGAGAAATATCAAAAATATATCAAATAATAAAATGTTGCTGATAATATTCTCAACATTTTGTCAGTTAATTTTTTTTGATGTCTTATATGAGAACCGAGATAATAGAGATCAAAGTCTGGACCAATCAGTGGCGGCCTATTGGCGACTCAAAGAGGGCCCTAACTTCAAGCCAATTTATCTCGGTTTCTGTGAGAGATATCAAACAGTTATTAATTGATAAAATGTTGGAAATTTTATGATAAACATTTTATCTGTTGACAAATTTTTGATATCTGTTACAAGAACTGTGATAATTGAGTTTAAAGTTTGGACGAATCAGTGGCAGCCTATTGTCGGTTCTAAAGGGACCATAACTTCAAGCTAATTTATCTCGGTTCCTAGCAGAGGTATCAAAAACTTGTTAAATGTTGTAATAAAATGTTGGTGGTTTTATGATTAAAAGTTTATCAGTTGACCACTTTTCGATATTTTTCCCAGAAAATGAGATATATGGACACAAAGTTTGGGGACTCACCATTATAAAACAACTGCACCGGATCCTGAGAATTTGCAATAACTCTTAACAACTTTGCCAATGGATAATTAGCGACAATCTCTCCAACTTTATAAAACTCCCCACTAAACTTCGATGTATACAAGTTCTTCAACGCCTGAGCTTCGGCCCGATCCTTGTACTTTGTGATTCGATCCAAAAAATTAAACATTGCCTGATGCATTGGGAACCCTTTGGCTAATTGAGCAGCTGGCATCACCAAATCCGACCAAGGGATCACTTTTGACCCATATTTTTTATAGGCGGTCCATAATCCGTGTAGTTCTCCTGGGATGCCAATAGATTGGTAGCCGAATTGAGCGGATTCCTTATCAGAGGTGTACATATTTTTGGTTGCTAGCGATGGAGCGGTTTCTCGGGAATTCAGGAAGACACATTTCTTTTCTGCTCTGCAAAATTGAGTGTTTCAACATTTTCTTAAAAATTTTATTATATTTTTTGATCTTATTAACTCCTTTCAAAATTTCAGAATATTCCTGTAAAAATGTTCTAAAAATGATTTTTCAGCGACTCAAAACTAATACCATCACTGATTTTTTGTTCTGTAATTGCAGAAATCATATTTTTTGAAACTTTGATAATTTCGTAAAACTTCGAGAAGATAATTATTACGGAAAATTGATTTGAAACATAAAATCACAATGAAACGGGGAAAAACGTAGAAAAAATTGAGACACTGCCCACTTTGAGCTCATATATCTCGGTTGCCTTGAAAGATATCAAAAAGTTGTCAACTGATAAAGTGTTTATCACAACATTAGTTATATTTTATAAGTTGACAGTTTCTTAATATCTTTCACAAGAAATGAGAAAAATCGGTATGAATTTAGGGTCCTCTGAGCAGCCAATGACCCGTCCAAACTGTGAACACTATTATCTCAGTTCCCGATAAAGGTATCAAAAAACTGTTAACTGCTAAAATGTTTATCATAACATCATAAACAGTTTATCAGTTGACACGTTTTTGATAGCTCTCACAGGAGCCGAGATAATAAAGGTCAAAGTGAGGAGGGTTTACTGCTGTCGGGTTGTAATAGCTGAGCATTACAAAACTGCGTTTTTCAAACTCAATCAGTACAATTTGAAATAGTAATAATTTTCTTATTCATCAAAATAACTCACTTCAAATAAATCACAATGAAATCGCCACCGCCAATTCCAGTGGCATACGGTAGAACGACGCCATTACAGAATGTAGCTGATATCGCAGCATCAACAGCATTTCCGCCTTGGATTATGATGTTTCTGGAAGAGATTTTTGTTTTAACAACGTATTAAGGATTCCCGATAAAACAAAAATATATTATAAACATAAAAAGTGACTCTGTGGAACGGTGTATTTTTGAATAAAACAATCCCCCTTCAACCTACCAAGCTGTCAACTTTGAGCCCATATATCTCATTTTCTGTGAGAGTTATCAGAAAGTGGTCAACTGACAAAATGTTTATCATAAAATCACCAATATCTCATCAGTTGATAACTTTTTGATATATCTTACCGAAACCGAGAGATGTGTCCTCAAAGTTGGTATACCCCTCTACGCTTCCTGTTGAGATACCGTAATTCTCAAGGATGTCATTCTATTGGAGTGATTGCGGTATGTTTTGGGTACTAAACTACAGCATTTAAGATTTTTGCGTTCTTAAAGAAACATAACAAACTTGGAGCCCTGAAAAAGTATTAAAAATTCCATAGAGATAACCTAAATGAATAGTTCCAAATATTCACAAAACATGAGTTGTGCCACTAAAAAGCCGCTTATCAGGCTTCCTTGGATTTGTACAGAAAAGTTGTCAATTACAAAAATAAAGCTCTATTTTTGTTTAGTATACTCTGAAATTTTGAGGAAAATCGAAAAAAAATTAGAAGTAGTTTTTGAGTGCTGTGCCTACCACAAGTGCTCAAATAGTCCTACACTTTGAAATCAATTATCTCGGTTCCTCTAAAAGATACTCAAAATTAGTCAATTGATAACATATGGCAGATATTATGATAAACATTTTGTCAGTTGACAAAATTTTGATAGCTCTCATAGGAACCAAGATTATTCAGCTCAAAGAGCAAGGTAATGTTCTCTTAAAAATTTTTTGCTATCACGCTACAAATATTATAATTTCTTATACAAAACTAAAAACATTCGTCAACTTGGTGAAACTGAAAAAAAAAATTAACAAAAATATAGGAAACAATTACCTTGCAATTTCAGCACAAAAATTGGAATCCGCGACTGCCGCTGCATTTCTAAATCTGGCAGATTTGGACCTTGGCTCAAGTACCACGTGTTCAGTATGTCGATTGCCAGTGAAATTGTATACGGTAGCGATAATAGCCCAGAGAAGAAGAATTACAGCAATCACAGATAGTACCAGGACTCCAATGTGGTATTTTCTGAAAAACTTTTTTGTTTTTTTTTTTTGAAAAAAAAATGTTTGAAAAAAATTTGTTCAAAAATCACCGTTTCACTAAATTGATAAGTTTGACAGAAGGATGATTCAAATGATATCTTTTTTTTAATAGAGATTTCAAAAATTTAAAAACTCACTTCAATTTTTTCATGAGAATCCTCTCCTGAGCCATATCGGCTCGAGAGTCTATCACAACAACCATTTTTTATTCACACAGTATTTAAAAAATGGGAAAAAAGTGTTTCAATGAAACAGTAAAATTTTAAGCACCCGATAGGTTTCATATGACCCTCCCCGACTATTTAAATATGCAAATTCTAGTTTTATGTAAAATAAGTTTCAAAATTTAGAAATTTTGGTGTCATTTATATGGAAATATCATCATGCTAGAAACATAATTCGGAAAGAGGGGTTAGACTGAAAATGAAAACTTGCGGAATCCTCCTGGAATGAAATGAATGAAAATCTCAGAATTGTGAAAAGTTATGTTTTTGAAACTGAAAAGATTTCGAAGAATTCAAAATTTTGGAACTTTGATTTTATCAGATTGAAAAGTTATATTTATTTATCAAGTAGCTAAGAACGATCAATTACCCATTTATTATTTTCAAAAAGTTTTATGGAGAATTCCACCACAGGGCGAGAT